TTTCCAAGTAATATGAAATTGAATTGGTGGGTTTGGTTACGTTCAGCTGCACGCCATAAAGGAACTAATAAAAAAGTTATGTGTCTGGAAATGCCAAGTGCGACGGCATGAGAATAATTGGAGAATGTCGAAGGAAACCAATATAGGAGAAGGAGAAGCTAAAGAAAGCAATCCCCGTAAAGACGCTGCTGCTCAAATAAACAAGCATGTTCCTAAAATAAAACCGAATCTGTAAATACTGAACAGCAAAGTACTCAATTCGATAGATTTTCCAAGGGATAGCCTTTCCCCTTCTCTTCCTTCATTGTTCCCCTTTTTCTACAAGACGCCTCAAAATCGTAAACCGCGTTTTCACATTTCGCCCAAGCACTTCCCAAAAAACGTCATTAGCAATGAGATTACTAGTCTGAGGCATCTCCTGCAGTGTCAACTCTTCCCCAGGGAGCGGAAGCGCTCGTAAACTGATTTGCATTGCGAATATTCGCGCATACGTTACTGTACGACAAATGACTGACGGGCTCGCACTGGCGTCAATCAACAATGCGTTGTACTGCCATGAGTGGCTGCTGCCTGATGTATAAATATCCGCATGACCTCAGAATAATTAACTCATTCAGGAGCGGAACTGCGAGATTCTCTACGGAATGGAAAACTTTTACCACGCTCTTGAATCAGGATCAAACGACTAGCCTAAAGGAACAGGTCAGGATCGAATTGCCGTTAAATTTTGTTCGAAAATTAGACAAGAAATGCGATGAGGAACGCAGTGGGGAGAACAAGCAAAAAGCACCATAGAAATCGTTAAAGTTTTCCTTGTGAGGTCGACTATCGTACGCCGGACTGCGCGGTGATGAGAGAAATTGTAAAGGGAGAGAACGCAGTAAGAAAAAGGTGCAGACACCGCGTGTGCGGCGAATAAGTAGGAGTGGCAGCGGTTGCAGCGGTCAAGGCAGCAGCAGGTCCTTAGCGCCAATTTCCGCGTTGTTTGCGTCGCGCACACTTTCCTGCACTACAGGTGGGGGTTTTGCAGCGGCAGGCGAGCCACGCTTTTTCAGAACGGTTTCTTGCATATTGTTGGGACGTATGTACGGACCGCAAAACCATGTTTCGTTTTCGCTGAACGGTTTCAGCAGTACCAAAAAGAAGCATAAGGTAAGTGTTAATGGTTCGATCCCCGTGGCGACTAAATTTTGCATTGGGTTGGCGCCTACGGTTTGGTGCCAAATCGCGCTAAATGTCAAAACCAGGTATAACTGTAGTCAGCGGCCATTGAAGCCACCCCAGTTGCTGCAACCTCAGTGCAAATTTAGTCACGCGGGGGATCGAACCATAAGGGTACCATGCACATCATCACTTTTTCGGTACTACTACAAGCGTTCAGCGAAAATGAAACATGGTTCTGTGGTCCATACATGCGTCCCTACAAAATGCAACAAACCGTTTAGAAAAGCGCGGCTTGCTCTGAAAGACCACCCTTGTAAGAGATCCCATTACCATCATGGAGAATGCTCTAACCATAAGGGTCCAATCGCGTACGCCTTTGAGGGTTTTTTGATGTGACCAATTCATCCTTCAAAATAGTGAAAACGAATGGCAATCTTCACCTTCAGTAGTGATTATGTCATTGCTTGCTCAACTGCGACAGTTTGCTTTGGAACATCTCCATGACGTGTGAGTAGTCCTCTTGTTTTCGCGTCAGCTTGCTGATTGTGTGGCGATATCCCTCCAAATCTCGAGCCATCTTACGAATGTCTGCGGCCTCGTATCTTTCGTTCAGCTGAAGCAAACAATAGTTATCACAAGAAACAAGACTTGCTTCGTTTGAAAAAGTCATTCACTGCGATTCAAGATGAGCTTCCAAAAACCCTAGTGGAGTTTCATTAGTGAACCACTATAACTTTTAGAATAAAGTGATAGGTTTAATTAGATTATTTCCACTGACCGTACTACAACTTGCACTGGCGAGGGAGTTTTGAGAGCCAAGGACATCAGCACCTGAAGGGAAATAGTTTTATTACTATCACATGTTTTGTGTAAGTAAAGAGGTAACAGAAGCTTCACTCTGAAACCGTAGCAGTGCTTACCTTCGCTCTTCGCTAGCCCGTGGTTCAACTGACATTCGTCAGCAAGTCGATGCAAATGGATGCCATCGCGCAGGTTCGCATAAATTCTTTCAGAATTCTGCGGTCCTCGAGCAGAGAGAGATCCTGAACGCAAGTTATAAATAAGGTTTTCAGGCTAAACACATTATTTTAGGCAAGTATTAGGGGCTACATGTTCCGCTACTAGAAATAATTGGTCCTTATATTATAACAGAAACGAGAATCGCTCAAATCATCATCAAAGAACTGAGGAAGCCGACAACTCATCACTTTTAATTATTCTATGGAACAAATCAAGTTAGTTGCACAGTTAGCCAACAGATAGGTAAGCATTTGTTGTTTGAAATAGAAATAATGTAAAAGAAGCTCCATGAAACTGAACACCACTACTCAAGATAAGTAGTAAAACCGAAACAGTAGCGTTACTTTGTATTTCAGAAGAGCGGGTCTTTATATTTGGTCCTTGGCTTCATTTTTGTGGCTCCTTCTTAAAATACCTCAAAGAGTGTTTCTCTGTGAACAAACGGTAGGTCGTATTCATCAACCACTCCCTTTCTCGAACGGGCCCAAAATAAAAAGGAATTTTGATTTATAAAGAAAGAAAGGGCGGAAGTGGTGTAGTGGCAAGTGGCACGCTTACCACGCGAGCGGTCCGGGGATCAAATCCTGGGTCGTGAGTCGCCAACCAAGCCTCCGGGGTCGGTTAATTGGTACCAGACTTGTCTGGGAGGATAAAAACACTGACTTGTACATCGGCTGGCCCCCGCAAGTCATTGTATAGGCCACATCGCATTCAAACGCCACTACAAATGGAAGTAGAATGCGTGCCGCATCCCAAAAAGGGATTGATCAACGGCAAATGCTTTATCCTTTTTTATCCTTATTTTCGCCATCTTAAGACTCTCAAAGGCGCTGGTCGCGAACCACTCCCTGGGGAAGGGGATGAGAACTGGACCATGATCAACAAGAAGAAGGGGGTCCCAGCCTTTGTACCTCGACGCCATATGCTTGGAGAAGAATGGAACAGCCCACTAAAACCCAAACCCACCAAAACCTGAGACCGAAGCTCAAAACCCGCTCATCTGTGACAGCATAGAGTGAAAGAACAACCAAAGAAGAGGTAGAAAGTTAGGAAAGTTAAGAAAAAGCAAGAGGTGAAGTGTGGCTGTGTGAAAGGAAAACTGAAAATACCCTTGTTGTTGACAGGACTAGCGACGGACAGCGGTAGACGTTGTTGATGACGAGGACTGGCGCCTCGTCGTGCTCGAGGAGCCGGTGAAGTGGGGTCCGATTCAAGCAGTACCATTCGAACGTGACATCCCAGACGAATTTAGACAGGCTCTCGAAGCTGAAGAGCACGCAGAATAGCGCTACATTAAGACATAGCGCAAGGAAAGAAGTTGGAGGATTCGGCTGTACAGAAATTTAGCGCCTAAAAAAGCGGTTCACAAAATTCCAAACAGACCATTGCAAATCTATTGATTCTCGCGTC